TGTGTGTGTGTCGGTGTGTGTGTGTGTGTGTGTGTGTGTGTGTGTGTGTGTGTGTGAAACAGAGGGGAGTGAAAGAGAAGAGATGTGGGCAAAAGAAGAGTCAAAGAAAAGGCAGAAAGAGAAAGACACAGAGAGGGTATTAAAGATGGTTTCACATTAACTTTTCAGTGGATGTGGGACAGACATGACTCTCTCCACTCTGTCATGCTGCTTTGACTGCAGACTTAGATCTTCTGTTTTTCTACTCACAGTGTACTTAACCCAAGCTTCCTGGGGTGGTTCAGTTGCTCATAAATATCACATGCATTATATATATACTGTAAGAGTGTGTGTGTGTGTGTGTGTGTGTGTGGGTGTGGGTGTGTGTGTGTGGGTGTGGGTGGGGGTGTGTGTGTGTGGGTGTGGGTGCGCGCGTGCGCGCGTGTGCAGGTCACAGCCTGACCGTCTCGTTCCCATCTGTCTTTGTACCCGGTCACGCACCCCATCACACCTTTCCCTCTCTTTGGCTAAATCCGATTATCTGGCCTGCATCAGCTAACGAGACCCCCATGAAGCTAGTCCCCCCCCCCCCCCCCCCCCCAACCCCAGCCTTTCTCTCTCTCTCTTTCTCTTACACACACTCAAGCACACGCGCTGCTCTAGGCTCAGACTGGACAGAGGACTCCTTAATTATGCTTAAATTGTCCATCTCTGTCTGTCCAGCTGCCTCTGTGTAAAACACAGAGCTGCGGCCTGACTGATCACTCTGAAAAAATATGTGAATGACACCAAAAGATGTGTGTGAAAGAGAAAAAAGGGTGAGAGTGAGACAGACAATAAAATGAGAAATGGGGGAGGAAGAGGCTAGCAAAGAAAGAAGGATGTGTACAGATGGCACACACATCACTGCTTTAACTGCCTCTCTGTAGCTCTGTTTATATGCATGTTTTAAACCAGCTTCTGACCAAACCCTACTTATAAGAAATAAAAAACAACTGTATGTCAGATACTGAAGGATAAATAGATTTAGATTGTTTGTTCTGTGATCTATATTTTCATGGGTTATTTTTTAGATTCACACAAACTGTCTTGACTGTATAGGTTTAATATTAGATGACTATTATTATCACATAAGAGACCAAATTAGGTCTTGTAGCTGATTTGTAAGTGATGATTAAGCTTTTATTATATTCCATTATGTCTGGCAAATTTGTGCCAGTGACTGAAAAATGTGCACAAAATATGACGTTTCCACAGGAAGTGAACGTGGTCAGAAATGTGTGACTAACACAGCTAAAAATAATCAGCACATGTATGTGAATACTCACCTGATAATGCCAGTTTTCTTACCTTTAATATGCAACTAAGACTAAGAGTCTACAGACTTGCTAGCAGCACCCTGAGGCTGTACTTTGCTAAATGTTAATGTAAACATGCTGATGTTTGCAAGTTGTAACTTCTACCATGTTCACTGTCTTAGTTTGCTGTGTTAACATGCTAACATGTGCTAAATAGCACTCAACACAAAGTGCATCTGAGTCTCATGGGAATGTCATTAGTTTTGCAGGTCATAACCCAATGAATTAGACAAGTTTTTGACCTGATGATGGCTCAAAATGAGAAGTTATGGGAACGGCAGAGTTAATCAAATTCATCCTGTAAGGAACATGGATAGATTTACCAGATTTTATGACAATCCATTCAATAGCCATAGAGGTATTTAACTAAAACCACAACTGTCAACCTCATAGTGCTGCTAAAAGAAAGACAAGGGATCACCAAAGTCAGTAGCCTTCATCCCCTGGGGACCATAAGTGTTTGTCTTGGAATAAAAACCGAACAACTTCATTGTTCAAGGGTTTATTTTGTTAATTTTCATAATGTTGATCACTTAATATTTGCATAGTAGGACCAGTAAGATTTATTTTTTCAGTTCACATCGCTCTACAAGAAAGTTGACAAAATCTCCCTATAAACATGCACACTAATTCCTACCATATAATTTATTGACTTTAGTGATTATATAATGTTAAAGATTGAATAATGTATTTCAATGAAGTATGAAAAGGAGCAGGCAGTGGCTAAGCATTCCCCTATGATTTCATAACTGATTTCCTCTAATACTTTGTTAAAACATAATCCAGTATTCATATTCTGCCGATCATGTTTTAAAAAACTCTTTTTTTCCAAATTCTTGAGTAACTGAGTTAAGATTTAGGTCCTCTATGCATGTGCCAGCAAGTCACTTGATTTAATGTGGTATGTGTGTGAGTGTATATTTTCTCCATACACCACTTAACAGGACTCTTAAATCCTGAGTGCTGCCTAAAAGCACAGCGCTTTGTTTACTCACACATTCTTGTACATTTGCTTGTCTGGCTTGCTGTTTGTGTTGGCGTAGAAACAGAGGAGGATTTTCTCTTGGGCTACATCCCTCTTACAAACTCAGAACATGAGATTCGGTTTGTAAAACTTATGTTTCACTTGAGAGCTGCTGAGCTAATGGAACAAAATATTTAGACAGCGAGGAATACTGGATAGGGATGAAGATGGCAAAAAACACAAAAGGAAAAAAAGAAAATGAGAGGCGGGATAAAAATAGAGGCCTAGGAATTGAAGAAGTAAATTAAGAGGAAGTGAAAGAACATGAGATCTTTTCATCAAATGTCAAGACTTGACTGACCCCTGACCTCTGTATGGTCTGTGGGTCATGGTGAATAGACACAGCATCTGACCCTGGTGGAATGTCTAACACACACATGCACAACACTGAGCAAGCAAAGTGTGTATTTTTGACATCTCTCCCTATTATCTCCTGTATATGTACTCAATGCCATTTTCTTTCCCTTCCATCCTTCGCTCTCTTTCTTCCTCACAGTAGAGTGATAACAAGGCGGTCATCCCTCGGCTCTCGTCTCTCTTTAGACATTTTTAGCAAACACTCTTTCATCTTCCCTGTCTGCGTTTCTCTGCCCTGTTATTAAAACTAGCCTGTCAAACAACTGTGATTCCCAGAAGTCCATCCTCCCCACTCTTGGCAGTTTCTCACAACAAATAAATTATTAAAATGTAGATTTTGTAGTCCAGAAAGTGATGACATGATTAATTTATGTTATCATACAGAATATGGGGCTGGGTTGTTCATTAGTAACGTATGTCCAGAATATGAATTTTAATTTGAGCCTAGATCTCTGGCTTTTTAATGATACTTAACTTAATGTTAAAAGTTTTTGCAATATAGAAAGTTTTTGGGGTAATGTTGTTGAGTGGTTGTTTACTGTTGCTTCCCTGATTCATCCATTATTTACTTACTGTTATTTTTATTTCTGTGAAAGTATATTATCTTACAGTAAATATGACCTCACTCCTATAACCCTGTATGTTTTCCTCCTGGCATATCAATTTTATCTCATGCCTGGCAAGCACTATGTTTCATATAAGCCTGTGTGTACAAATTAAATATGTCATCCATTTGTTCACTCAAATCACTCAAACAACATTGTTCTTTCTTAGCAGTTGCTCCTTGTTTCTACACATTAGAGCCTCACAAAGCACTGAACTCCACTGCCGCCATGTGTTACTGTAACATAAGATTTATGACACTGTATGTGCTGCAGTGGCGTCATTAGCATAAATGGAGCTCCTTCCCTTCCTGCAGCTCTCAGTCCTTTTCCTCCCATTTTTCTCCTCTCTGCAGTGCAATCTCCTTGTCACATTGTAGCTACATGTACAGAGAGTTAGATAGTTCCACTGTTCCAGATCCCCACAGGACCCAGTCTAGGTCCACGCTGTGCCCTAGCTGCTACTCTCCCATTGATATCTGGGACACTGTGTGAATCCTGATGCCTCTGTTGAATGAAGACAGCTGACAGTGATGAGGGCCTCCTAACTTCCCTCAGGGTCCGTTAAGAGTTTTTATTGCAGTTCTAACACATTTAAAGGAATACTGATACTTGTAGCCTGTGACCTGCTGCTATAGTCGGTTTACATCAGTTACAATAGATTCCACTAGAGACTTCATTGAGAGACAAAATGTCAAAATATCCATAAAAACCTCTCAAGCCACTCATGCAACACTATCGACTTATTGATCCTAAGGTTTAGTATGTTCCAAAAGTTCTAACAACTTAGTCATTGTGGTTTTATGATGTTATTATTTTTTCCCCCTGTCCCCCTGTCTTTGAGATGGAGTTAACAGTACTGAACATGTGTGGGGTTGTGTCTTTTCAGTACTGTCAATTAGACCAATAGATCTTTCTGTAAGTCATTAGATTTTGTAATGTAGTAGGTCTTTATCTTGTTATCTTGCTGTTAGCCTCTTTCTAC